CCCCTCTGGAAAACAGTGTGGAGGTTCCTCAAAAAATTAACAATAGAACTCCCCTATGACCCAGCAGTAGCACTGCTAGGAATTTACCCGAGGGATACAGAAGTGCTGATGCATAGGGGCACATGTACCACAATGTTCATAGCAGCACTCTCAACAATTGCCAAAATATGGAAAAAGCCTAAGTGTCCATCAACTGATGAATGGATCAAGAAGATGTGGTTTACACCCCACACTTGTTCCAGCTCTTTGAAATAGTCTGTGTGAAGGTGAAAGTGCAGTTCAGTAATAAACTGTGTTGATTCAGTGAAAAAAAAAAAAAAAAAAGAAGATGTGGTTTATATATACAATGGAATACTACATGGCAATGAGAAAGTATGAAATATGGTCACTTGTAGCAACATGGATGGGACTTGAGGGTGTTATGGTGAGTAAAATAAGTCAGGCAGAGAAGGACAGATACCATATATTTGCACGTATAGGGGACAGGGAACGGAAGACCATGGGGGAGAAGAAGGGGGAAAATAGTTAGGGAGAGGAAGGGAGGCAAACCATGAGAAAGTCTTGAATGCTGAGAACAAACTGAGGGCTGATGGGGGTGGGGGAGAGGGGAAGGGGGTGATGGGCATGGAGGAGGGCACTTGTGGGGATAAGCATTGGGTGTTAGATGAAAACCAACTTGACAACAAACTAAGGAAGAAAAAAAATAAATACATTCACACTGATGTGCAGCAAAATAAATAAATATTCTTCATAGGTGTGTTCGCTCTGTAAAAATTCACTGAACCATATGTGTACGGTGTTACTGAACCATATATGTATGGTGTTCTTTTAACCTGTAGTGACAAAATATGTTTCAATAGACCGTTTACAGAGAAATTTCTTTCTATGTGCATACTTGCGATGTTCCATAAACGACCAGTGGAATCCTATCATATATATTACTGTTTCAGTGCTGCCATTTCTTCCCTGGTCCTTTCCTGTTTTACACGTATAAGCCCTGTCCCTCCATACCTCACCACCAGGTAATATGTATATATTAATAACCTAGTCTATATACCCAAAGATGGTCTTATGTTTATATATGCGTGTATGTTATATACCCATCTTTGCACCTGAGGCTGTGATTATTTTACAAAAGCATATTATCATCTCATAGACTGTACTTTGCTATTCTCACACGAAAACACTTCCTGGTAAACCTTGCACGTCAACCTGCATGCTCTAATTCATTATCTATAATGGGTGTATAATATATGGGGCATTCTAATTTTCCACCGCTCTGCATGATGCTGACTTAAACATTTTTATACAGACATTGTTATATTCTGGTGGTTTACAAATATAGGGCAGATCCTAAGGGGTGGGACTGCTAAAGCACAGGTACTTGTATTTTCAATATGCACTAACAAACTGTTTTTTAAAACGATGACCATTCACATTTCCATCTGCAACCTATCCAAGTGCCTTTCTTCCCGCATCACATGTCAACTAGAGCTTGACATGTATGCAATGAGCAGCAGCCCTCAGTACAGCAAAAGCAGATGGCGATTTCTACTTTCTCTCCCTCTGTCCCTCCTTCGTGGCCTCTTGGGGAGAGGAATCTGGGGACATCCGGGTCAGATGCTGGTCACCTCACTGTGGGTTTGAGATAGCCCAGCAGCAACCTGACTCAGGAGGAAAAGCTGGGGCAGAGTCTGGCGTGGTGAGAGAAAGAGCAGGTTCAGTCCATACAGACCCAGAATCGCCCGAATGACCCGCTGACCATTTCTTAATTATTGCCTCTCAGGGCATGTCATGGGGGGGGGGGGATGGGGGGAAATCCGTAACCTATGTTCTCCAGACTCCCACGGCACCTGGCTTCCAGTTACGTTCCTCCCACGGGAGGCAATGACTGGGGACTGGAAGGCAGAAGGAAGGGAGAAAAAGCTCTCTCCGGTTTCTCACTCATGCTGGTGCTGTGCCAGCAGCAGGGGACGCTTCTGATTCTAATCTCCAGCTTCTCCCAGCAGCCCCAGCTCAGCTGAGCCAGAGCCCCCAGACAGTCGGGCATCAGCAGGTGCACAGCGCCTAGGACACCTGAGCACAGGGGTGTAGGACTCCTCCGCAAGCTCCCACAGTTTTGATAATGTCGCCTCTCCTTCAGTTACCCCAGGCCTGGGAAGGTGTGGCAGGAAGCCGCAAGAGGGCCCTCAGTGATCCCCACCGCGTGGTGTTTACAGCCGTATGTAATCCCCTCTTCCTCCTGAGTAACTTGCTTTGACCAACAGAATATGGCGCCGTTGCGGGGCTGTCACTTCTACAGCTAGGTTACAAAGGGTTTTGATTTCCATTTTGCCAGCAGATGTTTTCACTTGCTGACTTCGATGAAGCGAGCCACCATGCTGGAGACACCCACCTCCCTACGGACTGAGGACAACAAAGAGGAGGAGGTACTGAGAGCCTTAGTCCATCAGCCTTCAAGGAAACCAATCCTCCAACAGCTACTGCCCCAGTCAAGCCTTCGGACAAGCCCCCAACCCTGGCCGATACCTTGACTGTAGTGTCATGGGAGACCGTGAAGCAGAGGACCCAGCCAAAACATGCCGGAATTCCTAGTTCACAGACACTGAGAGATAAGAAATTGGTACTATTTTAAACCATGAATTTGGGGGAAGTTTGTAATGCACAAATGGGTAACCAATCAAGTATCTATGTTACTTTGTTCCCTTTTTGCTCCTTTGGGGTTTCAGTGCCTAGATTACTGATTCCCTATACTGAAGTAGCCTGGAATATCTAACATAGTTTGTGTTTTCCTGATGAGACCCCAACTGGTACTTATTAGGGTTCACATTCCATGGTACAGTATTTAAGGTTCTCTATATAATTTGACTCCAACCTGCTTTCCCAATCTTTTCCCTCCTGGTCAGCTGACATAGGAATTCCATCCCAGTCAAGCTACAGGCAGACCTCGTTTTATTGCACTTCACTTTATCAGGTTTTGCAGACTGCGTTTTTCATAAAACGCAAAGCCTTGCCTCGAGCCAGCCTATGGGTGCCATTTTCCAATGGCATTTGCTCATGTCACGTCTGTGTGTCACATTTTAGTAATTCTTACAATATTTCAAATTTTTCATTAGTATTATTTTTGTTACGGACACCTGCGGTCAGTGATTATGACTCATTGTAAGCACAGATGATGGTAAGCATTTTTTAGCAACAAAGCACGGTGTAATTAAGGTATGTACGTTGTTTGCTTAGGCACGGTGCTACTACACACTTAGTAAACCACAGCACAGTATAGACGTAACTTCTGAATGCACGGAGAAAGCAGAGACTTCACTGGACTCACTTTACTGCAATTTTTGCTTTCCTGCAGTGGTCTGGAGCCGAACCCACGCATCTCTGAGGCACACCTGTGGCCTGCTCATGTGCCATGAACCTGCCTGTGCCTTCTCACGCCTACCTTTCCACAAAGGTGGCGGCTAAGGGGCCAGCTGGCTTTGGCCCCAGTGTTTAAGTCCCGGTTCTATCTCCTACTAGCTGTAAAGCCTTAGGTAAGTCCCTGGACCTTTATAGACCACAGCTGGCTTATCTGAAAAACAGAGTAAACAATCATTTACTTTAAAATATGCTGCAGGGGTGCCTGGGTGCTTCAGTTGGTTAAGCGTCTCACTTGGGCTCAGGTCATGATCTCACAGTCCGTGGGTTCAAGCCTCGCGTCGGGCTCTGTGCTGACAGCTCAGAGCCTGAAGCCTGCTTCCGATTCTGCGTCTCCCTCTCTCTCTGCCCCTCCCGTGCTCATACTTTGTCTGTCTGTCTCTCTCTCTCTGCCCCCTGCCTGCTCACATTCTGTCTCTTTCAAAAATAAACATTAAAATTAAATTACAATAAAGTAAAATAAAATGAAATGAAATAAATAAAATATGCTGCAACAGGTATAGATAAATAGCTGGAGAATGTCTGCCTCACAGGAGGGGCTGAGAAAGTGACTGACCATGACTCCCACCAGCCTTCTCTCAGTCTGAAATTAGCCTCCCTCACTTCTCACCTGGCCAAATACTTCAGGGACTAACTCTTCTTCTAAGGTACCTTTCCAGAGTTTTCCCTTAAAGCCCTGGCATAATTTCTCTACCAGGAACCCTAGGTTTCCCCTGAAATATCTTATGACCATCAACAGGGGAGGGAGAAGGAAGAGCTTCATGTTCATAGTCATCTCTGTACCCTACCAACACCTAACACTTGTCAACTGTAAACAAACTTATTCTAGTACACAAACTAAGTACTTCAGAAAAAATGCGTCATAAAGTAATATCAAGAATACAGTAACTACGGGGCGCCTGGCTGGCTCACCTGGTAGGCATGCGACTCTTGATCTTGTGGTTCAAGATCAAGCCCCATGGAGGGTGTAGAGAGTACTAAAAATAGTATCTTCTTTTTTTAATGCTTATTTATTTTTGAGAGAGAGACAGAGAGACAGAGAGCAAGCAGGGGAGGGGAAGAGAGAAAGGGAGACACAGAATCTGAAGCAGGTTCCAGGCTCTAAGACATCAGCACAGAGCCCAGGGCTGAAGCCACAATCGGTGGGATCATGACCTGAGCCGAAGTCAGACGCTTAACTGACGAAGCCACCCAGGTGCCCCAAAAACAAAATCTTAAAGAAAAGGAGAATATGGTAACTATGAAATACCACATCTAACCTTTTCAACTCCAATGTCTGGCTTTAAATGTCCAAAGCAAACAACAGAATCAAATCCACCTCGTCCCTGCTAGGAATCTACCACAACTGGCCTGCCCTATCATCATATATGGCTTTGCACCACAGTTTTAGAAATGTCTGGAAAGCATATTTGTTTTCAAAGAACCCAAATGCTTAGGTCGGAAACCCAGTCTATCAAAATCATTGATGCCCAAAATCTTGGGCATAAGCCCAAGACACAAATTCCTTATGAATTAAAAAAATAATCAACAACCACCGTAGCAGACATGAGCGTATGCCCTGTGAGCGTGGGGCCAAGCCTCACCTTCATCTCCGGGTACATGTATCGGTGGATGGAAGGCAGCCAGTAGACAGGGGGCAGGCTGCCGCCTCTCCCCGGACCGGCGTGGAGCACCCCTTTCTTGTCCTCATAGAATGCGGCCAGATGAGAGTAATGTCCAGGCGTCTCCAGCTGGTGCCTGCAAACACACACGCACACAGTGAGGACAGCCCTGCCCCAAGAACTAGAACACTTGGGGACGAAGCGATAAATCGCAAAGACCCTCATTTTGAGGTTGCCTAGAATGCCCACTCTGGGGTTACAGGATCCTTAGAAAAAGCTCACACGTGGGGTCGGATTCTCCCTGACGCCACGGGACACACTCCTCCTCGTGGGACACGGATAGAGTGTCGACTGTGACTCGTGTTTCTTGTTCTGGAGCAAGGTGTGCTGAAGAGGGTGTATCACCTCCCACGGAATGCTGAGCCAAGGGACAGCGTGGAAAGCCACATGGAAGGCCACATACCCCTGCTTACAGCAGCTCTCTGTTGAGAAACCATGCTTGTTTGCTTCGTTATAGAAGGCTCAGAGGAGCTTCCCCCTCAACGTCTCAAATAATGGAAAACAATTATTGGATGCCGCCAAGCCTCAGACTTTCTGCATCAAGGAATAAAATTATAAAAACAAACATACAACTCAGAATCTCTTATTTTCCCACCCCCCGCCCCTGCTCGGGCCCACAGAGACGAGCTGTGGGGAACCCTGTCAACTGATCCCAAAACCAAGAAAGCCTCACTGAAGCCCTGGGCCATCTGGACGATGGAGAATCCACCTTCAAGTCAAGCCCAGGAAGGCTGTGGATTCTGTGTGGCGCTACGTTTGATGGGGGTGGTGTCAAGGGTTGAACTGTCCCCCTCCAACCCCACCAGAAACTGATCAGCTGGAGCCTAACTCCCAGTATGTAAGAATGTGACCCTCTGCGGAGACAAGACCTTACTGAGGTCAAGTTGAAATAAGTAACCGGAGGGGCGCCTGGGCGGCTTAGTCGGTTAAGCGTCTGACTTTCACTTAGGTCATGATCTCGCGGTTCGTGGGTTCGAGCCCCGCGTCGGGCTCTGTGCTGACTGCCAGCTCAGAGCCTGGAGCCTGTTTCAGAGTCTGTGTCTCCCTCTCTCTCTGACCCTCCCCTGCTCACGCTGTCTCTCTCTCTCTCTCTCTCTCCTAGAAATAAATAAAACATTAAAAAAAAAATCAAAAAAAAAAAAAAAAGAAAAAGAAATAAGTAACTGGAGTGGGTCCCAATCCAAACACTGCTAACCTTATTAAAAGAGGGAAATTTGGACATGGCTGACACACACAAGGAGAATGCCATGTGAAGATAAAGGCAGATGTTGGGAGAGATGCATCTAGAACCCCAGAAGACCAAAGATCACCAGCAAACCATCAGAAGCTGGGAGAGAGGTGCGGAACAGAATCTCCCTCGCGGCCCCAGAAGGAATCGACCCTGCAGACATCCTGACCTCAGGCTGCCGGCCTCCAGAGCTATGGGAGGACTTCTGTTGTTCTAAATCCCCGGGATTTGGGTCCTTTGCTATGACCACCTTAGGAAACAAATATAGGAAGGAATAAAAGGCAGTAAAGCCATTTTAGTCTTGTTTTCTTGGTGCCCTACAATTACCATCGCACTACAGCGAGAGAGACTCAGAACACAAACTATGGTTGGCCCCCAGAGCAATAATGACTAATACAGGGAACCCCCCACCCCCTAGTCTGTCGTTGTTGGCCTCCTCCAAGCTCGGACACAAACCACTCAGAGTCAAGACTTTCCTAGTCCAACCCCGAGCCAGGTGCCCTCAGGCAGTCTCTTCTCCAGAGTGACTTCCAGCTTCTAATGCCAAGGCAATAGCCGCCACTCTGCACGGGTGATCTCCAGGAAGTTACTACACTTTTCAAAATGTGCTGTCTGGGGCACCTGGTGGCTCAGTCGGTTATGCATTTGACTTCGGCTCAGGTCACAACCTCGTGGTTGATGAGTTCAAGCCTCATGCTGGGCTCTGTGCTGACAGCTCAGAGCCTGGAGCCTGGTTCTGATTATGTGTCTCCCTCTCTGCCTCTCCCCCACTTGTACTCTGTCTCTCTCTCAAAAATGAATGATTAAAAAAAAAAAAAAAAAAGCTCTCTTTGCCCCCTCTCCTTTGAAGAGAGGTAATATTGCAAATTGGTATTATTTTGAAGGGTAAATGAAATAAAGTAGAAAGAGAGCCTCATATGTCTTGCGCCACATTTCAGTCACTCACAAACATTAGGCTCCTTCCTCCCCAGCAACCTGGCAGTGTCTAGCTAGGAGCACACTGAGGGCTCAAAACACTGGGTGAATGGGGCAAATTCAGGCCAAGCCCTGGAAGAGATCTTTAGGCAAATTCACATTTTAAGAAGAAAAAAAAAATCAACATCATCTGGGGTGCCTGGGTGGCTCAATTGGTTAAGTGTCCAACATCATGATCTCACTGTTCGTGAGTTCAAGTCCCGCATCAGGCTCTATGCTGACAGCTCGGCGCCTGGAGCCTGCTTCAGATTCTGTGTCTCCCTCTCTCTCTCTGCCCCTCCCCCTCCCTCCATCTCAAAAAAATATTTTAAAAAATCAACATCAACTACATTTAAAAAAAATATCACGGGGGTGCCTTGTGGCTCAGTCTGTTGAGCATCCGACTCCTGATTTAGGCTCAGGTCATGATCCCAGGGTTGTGGGATTGAGCCCCACACTGGGCTCCATGCTGAGCTTGAAGCCTGCTTAGGATTCTTCCTCTCTGCTCCTCCACTGCTCGCTCTCTCAAATTAAGAATAAAACAAAACTATTACTAAGGTAAGTTCCTCTCAGAATGGAGGCTCTCTAATTTGGGGGTTCCTATTGTTTTAAGCTTTACACAAGAAGGCAGTCATGTGATGTAACAATAAATGACCATGAGGAGTGGGTGCCTATAATCCTTTCTTTCACTCCTACTCATGTGCTTTGATGGGAACCCTGTGGTGGCTAAGCTGTCTTTAATTCTGAAAAGAGGGCAGATTCCAGATACTTTTCAAGGACATGTGTCAAACTGATGAAAATTTGCTTAATACAAAATAACTCAAAGATGATTAAGTTCTAAGATTTCACCGGGATGTAATTTCCCTAAAAGAATAGTAAGAATCCATTCACTGTATTCTCAATACTCTGTTTTCTGCACTAAAGGGGGACTCTATCAAGGGTAACTGTTATGATAATTTTTCTGGTTGTTGGTTTGCTGCTCAGTTGTCTTTTCTGTTTGCCATAAATGCTATACTTGAACCAGTTTCTAAAGAAAAGCTCACAAAGCTAGAGTCCTTTGACAAAAAGCTAGTTTCAGGACCCTGTCCTCTGACAGCTTAAGATCTCACTGACTGATGGAAAAGAACAAGGCACTAATATGAAAGACAGAATATGGGCACAGACGTGAATATAAACTGGCAGTTCTGGATGAATGTTAAACAAGTGTTGTATGAAAGCCTCAAAACGTAAACACACTGGAGACTTTGCAATAAACAGCACTGATTATCAAGCCCCGATACCAAGATAACCCCAAAGGTACTGAAGCAAGCTGAAGAGATGGAAGGGATGCTGGGCTTCAAAGATGTGCAAAGGTGAGTTTCAGGTGATCTTGTCTATAAGGATGCACAGACAAGAAGCACCACATTGAAACTCAGGCCAAGCCATCTGTGCAAAGTGTCCAAAAGATACAACATCATAAAACTAGACAGTGAACTAGCGATTCTACTGACCTGAAGCCTCAGGCTTCTAGGCTAGGTCGAGGGTCCCCCTGCATGACCAGACGCACTGGGGTTCTCCTTACACCCAAGGCCCTTCACAGATAGAACATAAGCTCGTGTAACTGCACAGATGCCCACGGCAGCTAATCCTGGCTTCCCCGACATGCCCAGCAATGATGTAGCCAAGGTCAGAGTCAGGGCCTCCGGGGGACAGTTACCCTTCATCACTCTGGGGTATTCACTCCTGGTCTGCCCTGGTCTGCCCCAGTCTGTCTCTGGCTTCGCAAGTACAGAAAAACAGGCAATTTATTTTATTTTATTTATTTTTTTACTGCTGATGTGGGTACAGAATGGTGCCAGCTTTCTGAGGGATCACTTGCAATCTGCATCAAATTGTACTGCATGTACTTTCTGACCAGTGATTCCATTCCTGGGAAGGTGACCTAAACAACTATAACTGGATATGAACGATCATCTACCTACCATGATGCTTCTGTTTACAGTGGTTAAAAACAAGAAACAACCTAAAAGCCCAATAACAGGGATACAGTTACATAAAGCATGATACAGCTATATACTGAGAGGCTTTGAAACTACCATGCTGTTGAGAACTATTATGTGTGACATTCACGGCAAGGTTAACATACCAAGTTAGAAATTTTAGATGCTGAATGACTTTGACATAAATTTTTAAGAATTGTGTATGTATGTATTTATACAAGGGAAAAGACCAGAAGAATATAAATGTTCACAGCAGATAGGGCTGACTGATCCGATCATGTTTTTTTTTTTTCTTTGAGTTTTGTCTGTTTTTCAGTCTTCTATAATTATTACGTGATAATTTTATGTGTAGTCTTTTTAAACTTTTCACTATGGAAAATTTGAAACTTATACAAAAGGTAGAAAAAAGAATAATAAGCCCCATTATCTATCATTAGCTTCAACAATGATCAATATTTTATCAATATGGTTACATCTATACCCCATCCCTGCCCCCACACCATTCTTTTCCCTTGAATGCTTTAAAGCAAATTCCTTATCATAATAGTTTACCCATAAACACTTTGGCATGCACCTCTAATTGATAACGTTTATTTAAAAAAGAGCATAAACACCATGCTTAGCGAAATTAATAGCAAAACCCAAATACAAAATCATATCCAGTCCATATGTGAATTATACCAATTGTCCCCAAAATGTTTTACAGTTGGTTGTTTGAATCATGATCTAAGCAAGGTCCAGAGATATGGTAACCCACATGTTATAAGACCCTTTTATGCTAGAACACTCTCTCCTTCTTTTTCAAATTTATTTTTTAAATTACAAGATAGTTCTCCAATATCCTCTGATTAATAAGAACCAGTCACAGAAGCACTAGCTAGAGAGACACTGAAGCCCAGGGTTGTGGAGGAAATC